GAGTAGGCCATCTCCTTTACCAGAAATGCCTGGGAAACTCCTTGGTGAACAAGGCTCAGACACCATGACCTATTTGTGGCTGTTCACACCCCTTTCCTTCTCTTGAGCTCATATAACTCTTTGTCCCATAATGTATGGCCCCGATTAAACCATGTGATTAGGTTTTCTTCATCTTTGTTTTTCCTATGTCTATTCAGTGACTTTTACATGCCAGGAGCTCAGCAAGTACTTACTGATGATTGAATCAATGGACTCTTTCTCTCTGTCTTTCTCTCTCTCTCTCTATGCTGGTTGGTTGGTATGAGTGACTCAGAATGTTAGGGGATGTCAAAGAAAGAAGGTCTTAAGAATCCTATGTTCTTTGATTCCCTAAAGGGAAACAAAATCTGACTTAGGACCAGAGCCCCCAGAACTGTCTGACTCTCTCCAACTACAAGAAACACCACTGGTTGCCTGGAAATTTTGGTGAGAAGTTACTTTAGGAGAAAATGCTAATAATTTCCCAGATTAATGCTTACAATTATTTCTTTTTTATAAACCCCCTTTATGTCAGCCTCTTCTTACTCTTACAAAAAAATACACCAGCATTTAAAATCCCTTGCTTACAGCATTGCATAAACACCATAAACAGGAACCAGTGAGCACGGCTGGCTTCACGGACACAGTTCCCATGGAGACACACAGGGCCCCACACTCAGAAGAGCCCCACGCTTGGTTTAATGCTCTGCTGTCACCATCTTGCAATTCTTATAAATTTGAGCAAGGGACCCCATATTTTTATTTTTCACTAGGTCCCACAAATTATGTAGCCCATCATGCCAATGAATACATGATACTTACTTCCCAACGTTTCCCGATTTGACAGTTTAAACACTGAAATTCCTGTGTCTTCAAAAGCCCTTGGTCCCAGGCAAACCAGGATAGTTGTCATCCTACGTCTGGTCCTCAAACTGCAAACCAGTGTGGCATGCATTACTTTGTTCAATAAATAATATGACCAAATGAGTTACAGGCAGAAAAGCTTATTTAGGACACGTAAGCCTCCCCAGTAAACACTGTCTGTGACTGCTACAAATTAATATTTCTAAACACATCTCTCTGCATATTACAGCTCAAGGTTTATCAGCTCAAACTTTTAAGTTACAAGAAACCTATTTTAAAAACCAGTCCACAGGAAAGGGTTGCAGAGTCTAGGTCAATGAAAGAATTCCAGCAAGGCTATGAGCCACTGGGAATTCAGTCATTATTTATCTAAATTTCTGGTTAGGAATGAGGTTGGTAAATTAGTCACCACCTAGTTTCATCATCTATAAACTTTCTATTGACATTATTGGCCCATTTTTCTATTGGGCTGTTTGTTTTTTCTATTCATCTGTAAGAGTTTGTTGTATATTCTGCTCTATCATACCTGGCTAATTATTTTTATTTATTTATTTATTTTTGTAGGGACAAGGTCTCACTATGTTACCCAAGCTAGTTTCACACTCCTGGGCTCAAGCAATACTCCCGCCTCAGCCTCCCAAAGTGCCGGGATTACAGGCATAAGCCAACATGCCCAGCAAGAATTCTGTATTCTTGACGATCTTGTCAAATCTGTGAGGGTGTTGGAAGGACTATATATACACCTTTAAAAACCTCAGTGGGCTTTGTAAATAAAGTGGAAATCAGAAATCTGTGAACATTTAGAATGTTGAAGGCCAGGCACGTGAGCCAAGAAATTGTTTGCCTACAGACTTTTCTTTCTTTCACTGTATGCCAGGAGGGTTACATAAGCCTCTCTTCAGTACCACCCAAAACCCCCAGTAAAAGGAACACAGACAAATAATGAAAAGACAAAGGCTCCAAGTGCAAGTTCAATTGTCTTTATTTTTCTTATACAGAATCAGAGAAGCAAAAACCAGTACCAAACTCCAGGTAAAATGGTTTGATCTGATCAATTTGGCTGCATACTTTCGGTATGCAAAACATTCTAAACTTAAAATAGAAATTTTTATATTACAAAATGTAGAAGTAAATGTTTTTAAAAGTTAAAGTACTAGCACATTTATGAGTTAGGGAAATGGTCTCTGTCAATTGCCCATTTTCCCAATTAAATTAATCCACGATTTCCTTTTATATTTTTCATAAAAGTTGTACTTTCAGAAGTTACTTTCTAATTACGTTATGAGAACACAACTTGCAATTGGCAACACTTCTGTCACTCTAGATCACTTCTTCTGCAGAGAGCTTTTCTACCAAGTTAGCATCAACCAGCACAATAAATTTTTCACTGTTTTATCTGCTTGCTGTATATGGTATAATCAGTGAAAGAAATGGCATTTCACATCCTTGATAATACAGTGAAATACTGTCTAACAATTACTTAGATTTAACAGAATTACAATTAGGTTTTGACAATGTATTTACTTCAAGACAATGTATTTTATCAGAAAAAAAAATATCTTGAAAGAAAGACCTCTGAAATTATTTTTCATTTGATTCTCTTTTGTGATAAAATTTTGGGGTGAAATGATGTTTACTGGTTGATTTAGTACTAAAAAGACTAGTACTAAAAAGACTAAAGACAGTTGTTTTATAAAAGAAATATACTATAAATAGCACCTTATCAAGAATTCTGCAGGGATTTTAACACTTACAATAATAGGAAATAGCCATTAAAAAAGTTGCTCTAACTTTAGATTTCTAACTTTAGTGTTCTTTAACAAAGGCCATATTTTATGGTCTTAAAAACAAAACAAAAAAAATTATATCTGGCTTTATCTATTAGTAAACGTAAAGGGTCCATATTTTATTCTGCAAAAATATTTATTATATTCATTAATAAATGTTCTAACTAATTGAACTAAAAAAAATCTTCTAGTATTTTCTAATGCCACAAGCTTACTAGAAAATTACTTCTAAAAATTGATAATATAAGTCATCAATGATTTAACTGCTTAAAAAAAGGGGTATCTGTTTCTCTTACATTTAATAACCTGAAAATGAGTCTATAAAAATATTTTTTAAAAATACAGTAACACTGCTGATTTTTGTTAGGTCCCTTGTTTTTTTAATTTTTTTTTTTTTTTTTTTTTTAGCAAGAATGTACAATTCTTTTTGCTTTTTTTTTTTTTTTTTTTTTTTTTTTTTTTTTTTAGCAAGAATGTACAATTCTTTTTGCAATTTTTTGCTAACAAAAGACAAAAAGAAATAGTGCTCCCTTCAATTTAGTAGCAATAAAGTCATCTACCTTCATCTCTCTCAGAGGGCTTAGGGAGAGTGAAAGGAATTAGAGGAACATAAACCAGGGTCCTTCAGGAAAAAGAAGTCACTTCATAGTGATGAAGGCAGCAGCAGGCTACGCTCTTATCTGTCTGCATGCTCAGCATCAGCATGCCCTGCCTCTCCTCCTTCCAAAGCCTTCTTTTCTTCTACAACAGAGTCTTTTGGTATAAAGGTTGTAACAGAAAATTGTTGCTTTGTCCTTTTGGGGCACCTCTCGCATCTCCTGCTTGTTTTGCTTTTGGGGTACTATAACTTGTCTCTTTCCATTTCACAACTAGTATCCTTTCCACGATATTCCATAACTTCACTACTTCATCTCTGACCTTTTCACTTGCCTTCTTTCCAACATGATCCAATGTACTCTGTACATGTATATTCCAGTAGATGAAAAGGAATCTTATTTAAGATCTCCAACAAATAAGTCCCCCATGGAAATTGAAAGTGTCCTCTCAGAGACCCGAATTATTAATGTCTTTCAAAAAAAAGATTAAATTCATAGATTATAAATAATACTAGTTCAAAATATTAAACAGTTGAGGACTTCATTGGCAATGCAGGCAGACTGCATGCCGGTTGAACATGATGCTCTCTCAGTCCTTAAAAGCTAATAAAAATGTTTTTGGTTATGTAAGAGGTATTGAATATATATTTCATGCCTTTTTATACCAAGTGTAGCAAACAGGGTTAGGATAATGTACTTAGGAATCAATTTTACTGAATTCAGAAACATGTATCTCCACCATACACCCTCAAAGGGCTTTTTTCTTTTCTTTTTTTTTTTTTTTTTTTTTTTTTGCACGTCAGTCAGAGATCTGCTTCATCCTTCAGTTTCATAGATAGAATTACTTTAAACACTTGAAATCTAGAAAGCAAACCTGACAAGGCTTCAGAATTTTAAAAGCAACAGTTCACTGCATGTGCCATCAGGTTGAAATCTATGTTGTCCTGATGTTTTCAGAATTGCTTCAAAAGACACAAATACAGTTGCCACCAATTTAGCAAAAACATTTGGCTGCCTTTTGTCATCAGCTACAAAATTACAGTGCTTTATAAAATAAACATCAAGGCTGGCATGGTGGCTCACGCCTGTAATCCCAGCACTTTAGAAGGCTGAGACAGGTGTATCATCTGATTCAGGAGTTCAAGACCAGCCTGAGCAATATAGTGAAACCCCGTCTCTACTAAAAATACAAAAAATTAGCCGGGCGTGGTGGTGTGTGCCTGTAATCCCAACCACTCGGGAGACTGAGGCAGGAGAATCGCTTGAACCCAGGAGGTGGAGGTTGTAGTGAGCCAAGATCGCGCCATTGTGTTACAGCCTGGGCAATAAGAATGAAACTCCATCCAAAAACAAAACAAAACAAAACAAAACAAAAAAAAACNAAAAAAAAAAAAAAAAAAAAAAAAAAAAAAAAAAAAAAAAAAAAAAAAAAAAAAAAAAAAAAAAAAAAAACAACTAAACAAAACATCAAATTCTAAGCTGCAATTTTTAAAATCCCAAGTTGCAATATTTCAAAAACTTTTGTTTGAATAACAAATGCTCATAATTAGTACCAAACTGGTCTCTTTCACACGATCTGTAGAGTAAGAACTGTGACTAATGCGGCTGCTGCTACTCTCCCACTGGAGAGACTAAGTTGTCTAGATGCTCTGCAGTAAAATAATGAAGGCTAAGCTACAACAGGACTGTGTGTGCCTTTGTAAATACAGACTAATTAGAGCCATCAGAGCCAGCATGGATTCAAAATTACATTGTATTCCATACAGTAGAATTTTACTATCCATACAATGATTTTTAAAGCTCAAGTTAAATAGTTTTTAAAGCATTGGGTACTACTGTCATCAATACAGTTTTTGAAACAGTAAATCAGGTCTAATTTTGTGCACATTTCCTGGACCAAGCTGCCCTCAGAGTTAACTGCCTGTGGTCAGCTTTTTATGGTTTAAAATCAGTTGATGTATAAATTTCAATTAACACCCATAAAGCTTAGCCATGGGGCAGAAGAGAAGAAAGAGAAAAGTATTCTGCATAATCCTGTAGACACAATTCTGTATAATCTGTCACAAGAATGCAGGCTTGCAGAAAATGAAAATAGAATATTTATTTATGTTTAACTTAAGTTACTCTCAATGGAAACCAGGCAATGATGAAACTGGCAACATAAAAGGAGGGAGCACGAGTCATGGAGGCAGAAAGCGATGTACCTGCAGACTTGCTCTGCTCCATCACCTTTACCAAGAGGCCCAGGAAATGTAAGGTCATGGCTACATCCAAGTTACAATGGTAGTTATTACAGCCAGGTTAGAAAGGGCTCACTTTTGTTCAGAGCAGACTCTACATCATTGAAGAGGGGCATCAGGTCTTCAGATTCCAAAGTTCCTAGGTCAACGTTTGTTCCTGGAAGACAGTCAAGGAAATCAGGGAAACGGGTCTGTTGGGGGTTGATGTTCATGGGTGTTTGTCCTGCATTTTCTCCTGTAACAGAATGAAAAGAAACCATTATAATTCCTTCTTTTAGGCTCTTGAAAGAGGAAAAGTTCAAGTATTAACACAACCATCACCTTCATGTCTTCAACTACCACATTATTAACACTTACTCAAGGAGGTACAGAGATGTGGAAGAAATATAAAATTCTTTCTGGATAGATGTGGTCCAGAATGGAAAAGTCCAAGGAGATGAGAAAGGAGCACGTGAAAGTCACTGTGGATTTGATTTATGATCTGTGCCTTCCCGTGCCAGAGATGTTGTGAAGAACTGTTTTGCAAAGAGTAGAGAGGCCCTCTCTGTAATAAACACCTTATTACAGAACTATAATCTACAGATTTTATTGTAAGCTTTTATTTACCCATACCATCCTTCTTTACGTTCAAAGAGAATGGTGTGAAGCTTCTTTTAACAAGATTATTAAAAAGTTGTCTTCACTGACGTCTTTAGGCATCATTTATAAAGGGAGTTCTGCAGACGTTCTCCCTTTTTCCTTAATACATACACCCTACGACTATCTACCTTTCTCACAAGTATATGAGCCACAATGCATATGAGCATGTTAAGGCTTTGGGTCTTAAAGAAAGATTTTGTTTTCTTTAAGCCACTATTTCCTAAACCCATTTAATCACCTAAACCTATTTTGGCAGTATGTGTATCCTAATAAAACTGAAGTTCTACAGAACACAGGTGAGAAAATGCTGTACTAGAGGAAAAGTGTCTGGGATATGACATGAAGAATATAGGTTCTTTATGTGTGCTACTTTGGGACAGAATGTACTACTGACTTTTGTGTCATTAGACTGAGCTTTGTGGCTATGTAAGCTTAGACACACTTAACTTGTCTGATTCTCAGTTTACCCATCTGGAAATTGGGATTATAAGCACCTTCTACAAAAGTTGCAGTAAAGTGCCATATAGTGTCTGCCACATATCCATGGCTCTAGGTGTCACTGATATATACAAAGTTACATACATACAAAAGTATAATAAATGTTGATTGTCCTAAGAGAGAAAGAAAAACCTAGGAATTCAGCCACTATTAATTATACAACATCAAAACAACCGGTTAATTCAAATAGTCCCAAACAATTTTCTGAAGGGATAATATCTACTTCAAAGATTGAGAAGCACTGATAACTAAGACCAGCTTCCACCATAATGCATTTTAAAAACTTGCTAAATTATCTTTTGTGTGATACAAGTACGGTAGCCTTCCTGAAAAGTGTGCACGGAAGTTTCACTATTTTAAGCAAAATTGCAGAAAGTTCATTTTAGCAATCTGTGTTTTCCAAGAAGAAAAATCATATCCTTCCAAATGATGAAGGAACCATAATCCAATTTGCATTTCGTTAATAGCAAAACACAATGGCTTTGCTAGAAGTCACAAAATATCAATGACTCCTGGGCAATATTTTACAGGAATTTCATTGCAAGGGGCAATAATCTAAAAAATTAAATCAAGTTCAACAATATGACCTCAATATGGTTACTGATATTAAAAACAACATCAAAATAGAAAACAAAACCTAAAAAACTTTCTTCTACCCACTAGAGTGTAACAGATAAAAATTAGGCTATAAAAAGTATCTGTTCTAAAAGAACTATCTGATCTGAAGTGCTGGATGTCTTTTTTCTCGTTATCTCCAGTTAGAATCATTCATTTCTACTAGTTTCCCATTTTAATATTCAAATACTCAAGAAATATAATTTTTAGCCAAGCAAAATATCTGTTTTAAAGAATTCCTAGGCTAGATGTGATGACTCATGCCTCTAATCCACTTTGGGAGGCTGAGGTTGGTGGATCACCTGATGTCAGGAGTTCAAGACCAGCCTGGCCAACATGGTAAAACTCTGTTTCTATTAA